TATTATACTTCCTAGATTGTCCACTTAATTTTCTTATCTAGTCTCTCCTATTTTATCTCTCTTTGCTCTATTTTATGGGAGATCTCAACTTCATATTACATCTTTCTATTGAATCTTACATTTCTGCTCTCATAGTTTTTAACTTCAAAGAGCTATTTTTGCTATTCTCTGAATGTTTGTTTTAATAGCTGTTCTTATTTGGCAGAAAAAATGTCTGGTTTCTTTGAGAATATTAATACTTGCTTATACTTGCTTTTTTTTTTTGTGAGGAAGATCAGCCCTGTGCTAACATCTGCCAGTCCTCCTCTTTTTTTGCTGAGGAAGACTGGCCCTGGGCTAACCTCCATGCCCATCTTCCTCCACTTTATATGGGATGCGGCCACAGCATGGCTGTGGGTGCACGCCCGGGATCCGAACCGGCAGACCCCCAGCCACCGCAGTGGAGCACAGGCACTTAACTGCTTGCGCCACCGGACCGGCCCCTAACACTTGCTTTTAAAGTTCTTTTCTTCGTGTATTAGCCCCATTTCCCCCACCCAAATGGCTTTCTTCCTGTTTGCTTTGGCCTCTTCCTTTCAAGTTTCAGGCTTTCCTCAAATGTCTAATGATTATTAGCTACTGATTCTTGAAATAGTATTTTTTTCCCACCCAAAGCCCCAGTAGATAGTTGTATGTCACAGCTGCACATCCCTCTAGCTGCTGCATGCGGGACGTGGCCTCAGCATGGCCGGAGAAGCCGTGCATTGGTGCGTGCCTGGGATCCGAACCCAGGCCACCAGCAGCGGAGCGCACGCACTTAACCACTAAGTCATGGGGCCGGCCCTTGAAATAGTATTTTATATGCTTATTTCTAAAATTTGCTCAAAAAGCTAGAAAGTGTCATCTCCTCCCACACCTTTACTGACCTTCCTAGTAATTCCATCTATCACAGCAGTTTCTACACTAGATTGGAATTACGTGTTATGTCTGACTAATAAAACCAGAAACTCCTCTGGGGTAGAGAGTGTGCCTTATCTATCAGCTCCTCATACAATGCCCGGCACTCGGTAAGAACAGTAACTGCTGGATGGACTCAACTGCTGAAGACTCAGTGTAGTCATTTTCTCACACGTGGAATCACTGCAGACCAGTCAACAGTTGAACAGAATCGCAATTTCCAACCCATATAGAAATTACCCAGACAATATGAGGGAGGAGGGGACATCAGTCACAAAATGTAGACAGTGCTTTATAGTTTATAAAGGGGCTAATATCTCCTTTAATATCACAGGTGCCTAAGCAGCTACTATGACCCCCGTTTTACTACCGTTACCTCATTTTCAAAAACATGAGACTCAAAAGTTAATCCATTCCAAACACTTGACCACATACCTGAAAGCGAACCATATCCCAAAAGCCATCTAGATCGGCGCAGGTGGTATCCTTTTCACTTCGTTTATATTCACAATCGTCCACCAGTCCTTCAAACTGTTTGAACCTTTCTTTCATAAGGAGTCTTGTTTGACCAACAGCGATGCGAATAAGACCTTTGGCTAAAGGAAATATGAGATTTTTAAAAGTTAAAGAACCAAACAGGACCTTGGTTGCAAGCCAAGCAGTGATAAAACGACCTCACCCCAAATATCCTAGGGCTTACAAAATCAAACGCTTACCTTAAAGCACAACAAAAAACATCTACTGCAAAACTATGTCATACAAATACTGAGCATTAACTATCTGCTTCTATTCCCAGTAAAAATTAGCAATATTCATTCTCATACATGTTGCTACATAGTAAACAGCATTCTACTCTCCTTGTATTTTATAAGAATTCAACCTCAAATAACTCACTGTACATCAGTATCTAAGGACTTCACACAGCACACAAATGATTTTTTCTAAACAGCTTCCCAAATAAGATTAAAGAACTTTTCAGAAAATCTATTCCATATTTATTTAGGTAATTTTCATTCAGAAAATATTTTTGTATAATTAAACAATACTAGATATAGATGTCATTCAAAAAGCCATAAAAAAATCTAATAATTAAATAGGCAAATGTCTAACTTTCAGGAATGACAGCTAATAATCTAATTACTTCTTTAAAGTCATGTACCACTTTAGCAGAGATATTAGCGAACATATGTTGAGATATGAAAAAGTCTTGCTATTTTGAATAACGAAACTATAAAGTTGGACAACGCTAGATTTTTGTGTTTCAGATAAATGTAACCATATTAAAATAAACAAAGCTAAGACATAAAAAATATAAACGTTCCCTCACCTTCATCTGGAATGTCCAATTCAAGCTTCCTTTCCCACTCAAGGCAGTGAGAGGTTAATTCTTCGGTTTCTGACCGAAGAATATTTCTAAAATTATGACACACATTTCAGTTTTACAAATGTTTCTCATACTAATATATAAGTATTAGCAATATGACACTTATACAATAGTAATTTTCCAGAGTTGATGCTTAATTATTCTATGAACTGTGATATATTATAATCCATAAACACAAGTTGATACCCTACACATGTCCGTCCCTCTGCACCTAAAACTAACGTGGAGGGTTAATGCCAAGAGCCACTTTTCAAGCTAATATTTCTCGTTATTTCTGTTCTTATTTTTCAGAGGCTGAACAGAAAGAACCAGACATGCCTGAGTCCTGTTATTAGTTCTCTGTTATTGTCCATGGAACTAAGACAACCCAACTGCCAAGAGTCAGTTGAAGCTAAAACCTGTGAGTCTGGAATTACCGTGTTAGGGCCTCCCAGATTCTAGTTACCAGGCTTTGCTTGTCCAAAGACAGTGGTTCTCCGCACGGGTCAATTTTTGCCCCCAGGGGACATCTGGCAACGTCGAGAGCATTTGTGATTGTCACGAACTAGAGGAGTGCTACTGGCCTGGGATGCCACAAAACATCCTACACTGCAGAGGACGGCCCCACTGCGAGAATTATCCAATCTAAAATGTCAGAAGTGCTGGTTAAGAAACCCCTGCCTAAGGGAAATTTAACCTGTTTCTTTATAAAAAGCACCCCAGCAGGAGAAACAGGATAGTTTTTGCTTCCTAGAAGAAAAATTTAGCTGTTTAAATCTAATGGCATAAGAGAGAACAACTTAATTATGAGAAATGAGAGCCGGCTTAGACCTGACGTTATTTAGTTGGGTAAATTGCTCATTATCTTAATATCTCAAACAACACAATGGACTATATTTCTCATCTATTTGATTGGCAAAGCTCAAAAAAATTGTTAATACTGCATTGGAAAAGGAATGAGAATTTCCTTGCTACATTCACTCAAGAATAATAGTATGTAATCATTTCCTGTGTGATGTGGAGTGTTGGGGCCTTTCTCCAAATGCAGTCCTCCGATCTGTGTCCAAGGCATTTAGGTGACACGGTTGAGGTTCCCCAAACAGGATGTTAATTTTCAGTCTTCATAGTTGGAGAAACATAATCCTATCTCATGATTTAGTGGGCGAAGGAGCCTCCCATCATCTCCCTCTAACCTTCCTTTATAAAATAAACATTAACTTAGTTTCTTTGTGGGGGAAAAAAAGGTATGAGAAAATAGGAACTCCCATACTTTGCTGGAGGGAATATAAATTGAGGTCTTTATATATTTGCACAGGAGAGAATTGAAAAGCATACAAGGTTGTTCTTTGCAGGCTTGACTGTAATAGTAATAGACTGAACCCAATGTAAATAACCAGCAACAGAGATCTATTAAGTAAACTGTGGTCTATCCACATAATTGGATACAATGTGGCCATTAAAAAACACACACACAAAAAACAATATGAGCAAGTTCCTTAAAGTACTACAATGGAATAGCTCCTACATTTAATATTAGAAGAAAACAGATTAGTATGCTATTGTTTACATAAAAAAAGAAAAATATGTTTATCTATCTCTGGAAGTATTCACAAGAAATGAATAACACTTGCCTCTGTGGAAGGTTCGAACTAGGGGGTTGGGAGCAGAGTTGGGAAAAAGACTTCTCACTTGTACCTTTTTCTACCTTTTAAATTAGGAACCACATGAATGTACTATAGCTATTGAAAAAAAACCCAAAATTTAAAAGGTAAATAAAAATCACTTAAAGTCAGTTTCCTCCTAATTCATCTACGTATTATATTAAGGCTAAAAATAGTTTGATTTTGGTTTTAAATATATAGACATTAATACAAAATTCTTACGCTAGGAACAAATGCACGAACCTGAAATACAGCACGTTATGTTGTGACTGGGATTTCTGATCTTCATTTACTTCAAGTGATGGGACTTCTTTTATTGGAAGGCCATCTACATTTTTAGTAGTAGTTTCATTTCTATTTAAGATATACTCTATAGATTAAAGAAAACATTACATATAAATTTCAAAGCAGCAACTCCTAAAAATGACATCCCCCACAAGACAAATTTGTTAAATCCTTCAAATTTTTCAATGTTGAATTTAAAAATTTTATTTCTGCCTCAATGATTTCATTCATCAGATCTCCTCTAAAGTGTCTCTCAATATTCTTCATCTCTTCAAATTTACATTTACATTCCCCCTTCTCAGTCTGTCTTCCTCATTCCAGCTCTGTCTCCAGATATGCCCTCCCCATGCGTTTCCGTCTCTTCTGACCCTGAGGTCACATCCCTGAACTATATGGTGAGCTATATGGCAAAAAGGGCTCTAAACAATCTCTGATAAATCACAATCCAGAAAAGCAAGTAAAAATTTCGTTGAAACACCACACCTGTATCCCCAGCTGTTAGAGAACCCAAAGGACACTGTAATTTACTTGAATCTTGATGTACTGTCCGGGCAGAGGAAGTTTCACATTTCCGTGCCAAAACTTCTTTTGTTGCTTCTTGAGTCTTATCACTAAAAACAATACCAAAAATATACTTCATGAAACATGAACCCCACTTATCTAACTGAAGGATTTCAAAATTATGTTGCTTTTTACAAATCTTGGGTAAAATAGAAATATGTTTCTATTTTTTTTTAATGTGTCTATTCTGGAGGGGAAAAAATGTAAACACCTACAGTGGGAATGTCCACCTTTACTAATTGTGATGAGATCCACAGATTTGTAGATCTCTTACTGGGTGTAAACACTGAGGAGTCTCAGATGCTGCTGAGCAGTTTCTAGTAAATATGCCACCAGCCAGGCTTTGCAAAAACGACCTTGCCATTTCTTTCAAAGATTCAAATTGATTTTTTCTCCCCACTTTACAAGTTAATCATTTTGTCTTTAGAGGTAGTTTTTCTAAAGTAATACTCAGTAAAAAAACATAAACAAAAAAAAAACAAACAAAAAAATCCAAACCATGTCTGAGCTACAGTATAGCAATTTCTCCTTTCTAAAAATTTATTTCTAAAAATGTGTTATAATAAAGTCACTTATTAAAAGCAAAAAAACACATGTTGAATCATGAAAATAATAACAATGCACAGAAAATATCAAACCTTTCAAATACATTATTGTAGGCTTCTGAAGAATTTTTTTGAAAGATCATATTTTCATGATTTATAATGAACATAGTTTACTAACTAAATAACTTAAAAAGCAAATCTAAGAAAGGCATTTGTTATCCATCTTAGCAAGGACTTCTTAATCGACATTACATTCTTACATTTCTGTTTTTAAAGGACTCCAGGTGTATCTGGGTGTCAAAGAATTCGTACTTCTGGGAGTCACAGGCGTTAATCGGTAGGTCTTCAGACCATCTGGTGGGTGAAACACAAAATCTTCAGGGGCGAACGATTGCCTTCCTTTCATTTTTGCAGTATTTGTCTTGGGTAACTTTTCCTTTTTTGATAAGACTCCATTTTTATCCATTCCACTTGTCTCACTGGTTTGTGACTCCAAAGTATTTTCTTCACTATCAGCTTTAAAAGAAACGACCTAGATGTGAATAAACAGAGCAGAGTGAGAACCTCTCTTCTGGGGATATATTCAACCAATGTTTCAGGCCTGAAAATGTGAAAGTTAAGAGGTATGTCCCATGTACACAATTTAAAGACAAAAACAAATAGAATTAAATGTATACATGTAATCAGAACACCAGCGACATAAACCATCGCTATGGTCCAGAGAGAGCGAGAACCAGTGCTTATTACAAAAACCAAATAATAGGTTTTAGGTATTACAACAAGTTAAAATATATGAAAACTATGGAAAAATTTACTCACCTAACAAATACATATCTTTTTACTTAAATTATGTTGATAATTACAATGGTTTGAGAATTAGAAATCCAGTTTATTGGATGACTAGTATTGTCAAGGACCAAATCCTTTTTTTTAAATAACCTTGGATTATTGTAAAGAACTTTATCATATGAGCAAAAATAGTTTTTCATGTGTGAGGAAGATTAGCCCTGAGCTAACATCTGTTGCCAATCCTCCTCTTTCTGCTGAGGAATTTTGGCCCTGAGCTGAAATCTGTGCCTATCTTCCTGCATTTTATGTGGGATGCCTGCCACAGCATGGCTTGATAAGTGGTGAGTTGGTCCGCACCCGGGATCCGAACCTGTGAACCCTGGGCCACTGAAGCGGAGCTCAAAAACTTAACCACTACGCCACTGGGCCAGCCCCAGAGCAAAAATATTTTCCAATGTGACACAGTGAGATTAACCATGTAAAATGTGAAGCATATATTCTTTTTCAAGTCAATTTGTTACTTGTATTTTTTTATTGCAATATAATCGGCATATAACATTACATTAGTTTCAGGTATACAACATAATGATTCAATATTTGTACGTTGTGAAATGTTCACCACAGTAAGTCTAGTTAACATCCATCACCACACACAGTCACAAATTTTTTTTCTTGTGATGAGAACTTTTGTGACCTACTCTCTTAGCAACTTCCAAATACACAACACAATATTGTTAACTGTAGTCACTATGCAGTACATTACATCCCCAGGACTGACATTTTATAACTGCAAGTTTGTACCTTTTCACCACCTTCGCCCATTTAACCCACTCATTTAAACACAATTTTTAGAGGTTTCTATGTTTCTGATTTTTAATGAGATATGAATTGAAAGCAGAGTATTTCTACCTGGACAAGAGTTTAAGAGTAACCCTGTCCCTCAGGCCCATGTGGCAGGAAAAGTAGAAACTAGTTATAATCCTTAAGGAGAAAAGCAATCGCAAGGGAGGAGATACGAGATCTAGCTGCTTGTCTGTCGAAGATTCACCCTGTACTGCCTTCCTTGGAGGATCTGTGTCTGATTTTTAGTAACAATCTAGCCAGGTTTCTTACACTTTGGCATAACTTTTTTTTTTAAGGCTAAGGAATTGTGGCATGGATTATAAATCAAGAGATTGGGTCCTCAAAATGGTGGCTCTTCTTTGAAGACTCTACCAGGCACTATGCTAGATGCTATCAGAAACATTATGTTATTTAATTCTTAAAACTACTCTATGTAGGTACAATATGTTGCAGGTGGGAAAACAAACTCATAACTTGCCCAAGATTATATAGCTAATCAGAAGCGAGACAATATGCAAACTGAGGCCTAACTGAATCCAAAGTCAATGTATTTCACCCTGCTCCACACTATCTCTTCACTAATTCTCATCTGAAGGCTTCCATCAGCTGTGTTTTTATTTCTCTCTCTTCTGTTAGCCAAATTACACTTTCTCTACTTATAAAGCTCTGGGGACAAGACACCTGAAAAAACAATAACAGGAAATCCTCTTGATGCCTCTTTATGGTTCAAGAGGTTTTCACACACATGTAGGTCAACCTCTTGAAGCAGTTCTGTGTGTTTAATTTCAGCTTCATGAACGTAGCAATGAGATTTTCAAAGTATCTAGAAATAAATAGATGATTATACTCTACCTTTCCAGGTTTTTTTTCTATCTTTTTGGCAGGTCTTCCTTGATTTGGTGCCTTTCTTTCTGTCCCACTATCTAAAATAAAAACAAAATAGATCCATTTTGACCAGATAGAAAATTCTGCATTAAAAGTACTAGGTAATTTGGGAAAGGAAAAAAGGCAAGAATAGGAATGTATGTCTCAAAGGATTTTATGATTAAAAGTCAGTTTTAAATAGGATAAAAACAGATGAACTTTCCTGCCAAGTACAGGCCACCTGTGTTCAAAACAAAAGGTATTTTACCTTTTATCTCTGAACAGTAAATGCATATTTTTTATAGAAAACTAGGTAAAGAAAAGCTCAGAAACAACAATCCAAAAAAATCACCCAAGATGATATTATTCAGAAACCATCACTGTTGACACTTTAGGGTGTTTTCCCAGTTTTTTCCTCTGTTCACATATTCACATACATATTTTAGAATTGTGATCATACTGTTCAGAATTTGACCTGTTTTCTTTGCCCACTTAATATATTCTGAACCATGTCATGAACTGTTCTTTCACAACGTTATTCTTAAATGGTTACATCATATTCCACCAAATGGACTGACTGTAACTTATTGGGGCCGTTAATTTTCACTTCGAAGCACCGCTCACACCAACTCAGACGCTTCACCGTTTGAGCGCCCTCAGTGTGTGTGCCAACTGGATGGCGGGGCACAGAACCTGTCTTCAGGAAGTGGAATCTCCCGTTTCCTCCTCTCCTACTCCAAGAACACATGATGATTTTAAAAACCGAACACAGGAAACCCGAGGGCCCCCAACATTCTGCTTCCGCCACCGATCAAGAGCCGGTCTCACCGCGCGTGGCGGCCGCCGCGGCGCCGGCGCCGGCGGGCGAGGCTGCTCCGGGGCGCTTTGCCGCTGCGGTCGTTGACCTCGTCACTCTCGCGGACGTGGGCGCTGCGGACTGCCCGGCTGCGGGGACAAGCAAATTAGATGCTTTCTGTAATTACTAAGTTATTGTTGTGGCAGCATCAGAACTTAGCATACTGGCTAATATTCCTACCTTTTCTCTCACCGTCCACTTTCTTTTCGGAAGTTTGTCTTTGCCCAGATTGGGCTGCCCGAACATCACTCCCATGACCAACCTATTTAAAAGATTAGGTGCTATGTGATTTAATTGCATAATGAATCAAACGACCACACTTTTAATCTGTAAATTGACCCCTCATCTGAAATCTGGCTATTGTAAATGATCCAGCAAAAAATCCACCACTGCAAATAAAATGAGATGAAGAAAAAAGTTTTCCATTATATAAATTTCCTTGCAAGCTTTTTTAGAATCCTAGAATTTGGAAAATGCTAATGGCCTGAGCTATTAAAAATAGCAGACTATAATCTGAGAGTCCTTAAACATACCAGCGTGTTTCACTTCAAGACTTTTGAATTTTGTGTAGAACACTCTTCTCCTGGATAGAAAACTCTTCCCATAGTTCACTCTCCCACTTCCTTGAAGACTTCCTTCAAAATGCCACCATCTCAGCCAGACCCCATCAGAAGCCCACCCTGCACCGACTTCCATACTCCCCATCTCCCTTCTCTTGGTTTTTACCTCCTCCATAATAATTATGACCATCAGCATACCATATATTTGTCTTTTTTTATTGCTTATCTCACATGTAAGCTCCATGAAAACAAGGAATTTTGTTTTATTCACTACTATATCCTAGAGCCTAGAGGAACATGGTAGTGACTCAAAATTTATTGAATACATGCAACGTAGCTTTCTCACCTGGTAAAGAGGCATACTATTTCCCTCCTTGCCCACTTCACTTTATTTTAGTAAGCCTCCTAAAAAGTTTATCCATAATGGTGTTCTGAAGACCCATAAGTTTATCACCCCACCCTATGTGCTTTATATCCCTATAAGCATTTTATAGTGACATGGAGGCACAAAAGAAGCCCAGTAAACAAACAAAGAGTGTGACACACAGAGTTGGTATAGGTGTCATAAGGGATGTTTGGGCAATGAATATTTTGAGTGAGTGTTTCCTTAGCACCTAGCCAAAACTGCTCTGTTACCATAAAAATAACGGGGATTTTGGTACTATTAACTCTAGTAAAATAATCACTATGCTTGAAGCTGATATTAGATTTAAAATGAATTTACTTACTCTGAGAAAAAAAGTACAATTTGTCATTGTAGTAACAATTATCTACCAACTGTAACTACACCCTAGTCAGCTCCATCTGGTCTTTGGCCTCTGACTTTGTCATCCATGCAAGATGGAGCAGCCATCAAGATCAAGTTATAGAAAAGGAAGATAAGATCAAGTTTGAAGAAAAATGAACTGGCAAAATTTACTTTCATGTCTCATCATGAAATAAAGTTTCCATTTTAAAGGTAAATTTGGGGCTGGCCTGGTGGCACAAGCAGTTAAGTGCACGAGCTCTGCTGTGGCGGCCCGGGGTTCGCCGGTTCGGATCCCGGGCGTGCACCGACGCACCACTTGGCAAGCCATGCTGTGTCGGCGTCTCATATAAAGTGGAGGAAGATGGGCATGGATGTTAGCCCAGGGCCAGTCTTCCTCAGCAAAAAGAGGATTGGCAGATGTTAGCTCAGGGCTGATCTTCCTCACAAAAAAACAAAAACAAAAAAACAAACAAACAAAAAAATAAAGTTAAATTTTACCCTTAATCATTTAACCCTCAATCATTTATGGCAAAAAGAATACTTGCTAACTTAAATTACTATTTTTTCTGGTTCTGGTTTAAATTATGCTTAATAGCTTCAAAACTTACTCATGTGTCTCAGGGAGGAGAGAGAAGAAATCTCAGACTGTATTTTCCAGGTATTAGAATCCTCATTAATATGAGCAGCTGGACATTATTTGGAGGGGGCAAATGAACAGACTAGAGTGTTAGGACTTTTCTTTTCTACTTATGAAAAGATACTGCACAGCTTACTTTCCTAGCTTTGACAATTTGCCTTCAAATCTAACGATTAGGCATGTGTCCACTGTCAATAAGAAAATGGAGACCTGATCACAAAGTGGGGAAGAAATCTAGCAAGAGAAGGACTGATTAGAAGTGGTAAGATATTTAACAACTCTAAAGTTCCTTAAGAGGCACAACCAGACTTCTCCTCTAGATTAGGACCCATTTGCTTCTCCAAATCCTAGGGAAAATTTAGTGCTAAAGAAATGAGGCTTTTCTCCAGATTGCATGAAAGGAACAAAATTCAGCAGTGGCTACTGTCTGTGTAGAATAAAAAACAACTATTGGTGAATCTTATTATTTAATGCAACGATGTGTGTCTTTTCCCCCTACATATAACAGTTTGTAAATAGCTGTTTACACTTTAGACCAATGATTGGTATCCCACATAGTGTTGAGAAGCCAGATTAAATCTCACTCCTTCCAAGAGGTCTTCTCTGATGTTCCTCCAAACACGTACAATCTCACCCTCCTCTAACATATATAGACCATATGTATCCGTATCTTTCCACCTTGAGCTGTATTCTACTAATTTTGGTCTCTTCCACATTATCCTAAGAGTAATCAAAGGTCTGTCAAATACATCAATGAGATTCAGGAAGCAAAAAAAAACAGGCAATGTCTCGAGCTTTTGTTATTCAATTCTTATTTAGATCAGGAATGAATACACAGCCAACGAGAGACCATATCTTAAAAACAGCAGATCACCAGTGACTGACTACCTAATTTACAAATCCAACTGCCTGTGTTCAAACTTCATCCCTCTTGACTCATCGATCATTCTCTTCTTTAGATCACCCCTCCTTCAGCTTCTGTCCTGTTCTAGTTCTCCTGCCACCCTGACCTATCACTGGTCCCTGACTCTTGCCCACCTGAAGGTGTTCTCTAGACCTCACTCTTTCATAATTTATATGTCTTTATTGGGTGGTCTCATTTAGTCCTACAGCTTAAACACCCAGCCATACTCCCAATAGCATATCCTGAATCCACACCTCAGCATGGATCTCCATCCTGATTTTCAAATTTTTATTCCCAACTGTCTGTTACCCAGGTGGCCCAAACAAGCTTAAAAAAAAGTGTTATTAATAAGCACCCACTTAGGCACATTCCTTTTCTTGCCTTCCACATCTCTTTTAGCAGCAGCACAATTTATATGGTTGCTCAAACTAATTTATCTTCAGAATCATCTTATCTCTGACTCTTCAATTTCCTTCACCCCTCACTGTCTACTTGGTCACCTGTCAAATTTATCTCCTAAGATGTCTTACCCCTATTTCTTCCTTTTAAACCCTCTGCCCCAGTCCACTTATCCTTTCTCACCTATTCTATCACGACAATCTCACAGCTGGTCTTCCTACCTATAAATTCGCCCCTCTCCAGACTATAATCGCAAGCTTTTCCTGGATTATTATTTTGATAATGGTACAACCTCATTTATTAAGCCTCCCTTGACTCTCCATATCCAACAGGACAAATGCCCAATTCTTGGGCACAGCGTTCACTGTTCAGTCTAGCCCCACCTGCTTTCCTAGTTTCATCCCATGTCAACCTACCTATAGCTACATGGAGAGACCTGATCTTCATCTTCTGAGCTACTCTTATGTCATTCCCACCTCCTACCAACTAGTTAAGTGAATAAAGGGACTATGGGGAAAGGGTTATTTTAGTCATTTAAACTCTCAAAGAATTGCTTCTCGGCCTTTTGCCTAAGATCAAGTGTCATGTCTTAAAGAAAATTCCCGTTAAAAGAAACTATTCCTGTATATCAAGTCAGGATAATAAATTTACCTTTTTTGACTGGTACTGTGGTATGGATAAAAGAAAATAAGGCTTATCAGGTCTATAAAGACCCACTTTAAATACTCCTCGTTCAGCTTTCTCTCTGTCTTCTTTCAATTTTTTAAGTTGTTTTTCTTCCTTGTATTTCTGGAGCATTTGTCTTCGTTGATCACTTAGAAGAGATTTCAGTGACCCTAAGCGGCAGGAAAAACAGTATATAAAACATTTCAGATAAAAAGTTACACAAATGTCTAAAATATCATTGTCTCACTTCAACTGCTGTTAAAAACGCTTTCAGTAAATTCTTGTTAATTCCTTAGCACTCTAACCAGAAGTTATTTCAACCCCTATTCTTTTAAAATTTCTCTTCCTTTTGCCTTCTTTTGTTCGCATATTTATTAATTGCTTGCTATGTATGAGGCATGCATTACCTCAGTTTTAAATTAATTAACTTCTATGATCACCAGCCTCCATCTGACCTCCAGTGATTCTCACCTCCTGGTAGCCATGCCCTGTGTTGCCCCTCCACACTGAACAGGGCTGAGGAAAGTGCGGGAATGGTGGGGTGTGGCTTCTAAGACTAGCTCATTCAAGACAGCACATCTTTGGCCCTGCTCTCTCTTGGATCACTTGCACTGGGGGAAGCCAGCGGCCATGTGGAGGCTTAAGGAGACTCCAGCAGCCTATGGAGACGGCCACGTGACAGAGCTAAGGCCTCCTGCCAAAAGCCAGTAGCAGCTTCCCAGTCGTGCGAGTGAGCCATCTGGGAGCAGCTCCTGCAGTTTCAGTCCAGCCTTCAGATGTGTCCCTGGATGGCACCTCGACTGCAACCTGCATCACCAGCTGGCTGAGCCGCACCCAAATTCCTGACCCACACAATTGTGTGAAATCATAAATGTTTGTTGCTCTAAGCCACTAAGTTTTGGGGTAACTAATACAACTTTTCCTTTGATATTAAGGCTGTTTGTCAGTTTCTTTAGCTCCCACCTATGATTCTCAAACTTAGGTTTCATGTTTATTTAAACTGGTTTGAAAAATATGAGTGGCTACTATGTGCCAGACATTTTTAGGCAGTAAGAATAAGTAAGAGAATTTCTGCCCTCTAAGGGCTCACAATATCATGCAGGAGATGAACAGTTTCAATTTGGTTTACCATGGAATAAATAGCATGAGAATGCACACCATAGAGAAGCAGTATAAACCTGTCTGGGGAGATCCAGAAAGGCTTCTCAGAAGAGAGACTACCTGTGAAGGTTTCTGAAGAATGAGTATACGTTTGCCCACTGGGTGAGGGTTAAAAATAATCCAGGGAGATTAAGTGCACAACTCAGTAAATTTACTAAAAAAAGCATTTACCTAAATGGGTAGATTTTATGGTATGTAAATTATACCTCAAAAAGTTGTTTAAAACAATAATCCAGGCAAAAAACAGAACATGCAAGAGCTCAGATGACGAAGTAGTCAACATCAACATCAACAAAACGCCTATATCCTCGACTTCCCTGAATGTCCCCTTCATCTCTTGATCTAACTGAAACCTGGCCCTCCCCTGAAGACACTGCTTCCCGAGCTGTCCTCTCAAGTGGTTGACTCTTTTCTTCTCCCACACTGGTAATATCACTGGGCCCAAAGAGGGGAGGTGTCCTCATCACTGCTTCTCAGTGATTTCTTCCTCTTCACTAAAAGAGCCCAGCTTTATATTTCATGTCATCAGATCATACTAGACAGTACCCCAATTAGTCATCTGTAGACCCTCCAGGTTTCCCCCTCATTCCTCGAAGGCTTTAGCTCCCAGCTCACTGTTGCTGCCTCCATCACCGTTCTTGTTTAAATCTTGATGACCCCTCCAATTCCCTGCCTCTCAATTCTTAGGTTTCCTTTTCTCCAATGATCTTGCTTTTACTATACCTCAGCTACCCATTCCCCTGGTCACACCCGTACCAATATTTCAACCATTTTCATTCCATGGCATACATAAAAAATAACATTTACCCAATACACCAGAGCAAACAGAGGCTGCTTGTGATCGAATGCATCCAGTCAGAGAGAGAGCTCTGACCAACCCAGGCCCTGCCAGAAACTTCAAGGGCTAAGAGGACCAATGTCTTGTCACACCTGTATTCATTTGTGAGGCAACTAGGCACTTGAGACCTCATCATTACTAATAAGAACTGTCCCTACTTCATAAGCCAAATTTCAAGCAATCCACTCTGACAACCATATCTTATCTTTCTAACAACTGTTTGGCCCCACCAGTACCTACCCTTTACTGATCTACACTCATCTTTTTACTGTGTCTCACCTCCCTTGTGTTCTCAAGTTTATTCTTATCCAATTTAGATTCCATGATTCATCATCAGAATCACTACTTCAACTTTTTGACTCCTCTCTTAGAGTTGTACCCTGGCAAAATTCCAACTCTGATTAAATGCCACTCTCTGCTTACTTCCCACCTGCAATGCTCACCTGAATGTAGCTGGAAAGGCATGCTACCTCATCTCTCACTCTTTATGACTACAAACCTCAGTTGGACCCTACACTTCCCTATTTCATCACTCTCTCTCTCTCTGGAATTATTATTTCACACATTATCCTCTCCTCAAACCTGAAACAGCTCCTCTCCCATCTGCGTTCAAAGCTCCCACCCGGGCATCTGGACCCACAGACTTTGCCTTCCCTTCTAGATGGGCTGAGAGAGCTCCTACATAAGGCCAACCCCTCCACCTAGCTCCAGATTCTATTCCTTCTCAACTACTCAAGGACATTCTTCCAGCAATTTACCCTCGCACTCCCCTATTTCTCTCTTTATACTGGGGTGTTGCCATCATAAAGTTACAAACATGCAGTAATTCCTCCCAACCAACATCCTCATCTAGCTGCTTGCCTCATTTCTCCATTTCCATTTAAGGCAAAACTATTCAAGAGAGGTCCCCACATCCCTATGTCCAGTTCTTCTCCTTTTGTCCCCCTCACTTTTTATAAAATTATGAAAAACTTCAAATACACAAAGGAGAATATAATGGACGCCCATATACCTACAACCCAAATTCAACACTTATCAACATTTTGCTGCACGTGACTTTTTTCACTTGAAGTTATCTGAAAATAAATTCTACTCACAAAATTTTATCCATAAATATTTCAGTATGCACCTCTAAAAATAAAGACACTTTCTTTCATAACCACAATACCATTATCACACCTAAAAAGTCAGCAGTAATTCCATGTTATCATCTACTACAGCGACCAGATTTAGACTTCTCTGCTTGTTTTAAATAGGTCTTTCTTTTTTTAACCATTGGTTTGTTCAAACCAGGAATGAAGCAAGATCCACACATTGTATCTGGATGTCTTTTAAGTCTCTTCATCTAAAACAGATCCTCCTCCTCACCCTTTTTTCCAGGCCATTGTCTTGTTGACAAAAGCTGGTCAGTTGTCCTATAGAATGTCCTGCACTCTACATTTGTCTGTTTGGTTTCTCATATTTCTTATTCATTCCTCTAGCCCTCATATTTTCTATAAATTGAAAATATCTAAGGGTTTGATTAGACTCAAGTTCAAACTTTGGGGCAAGAAAACATCCTAGGTGGTGCTGCCATTCTCTTTTTTTTTTTCTCTTTGTGAGGAAGATCAGCCCTGAGCTAACATCCATGACAATCCTCCTCTTTTTGCTGAGGAAGACTGGCCCTGAGCTAACATCCGTGCCCATCTTCCTCCACTTTATGTGGGACGCCGCCACAGCATGCCCTGACAAGCAGTGCGTCAGTGCACGCCTGGGATCCGAACTTGGGCCTCCAGCAGCGGAGCGTGCACACTTAACCGCTATGCCATGGGGCGGCCCCAACCATTCTCTCTTGAACCCATTCCAATCCGGCTTTCACTCCCTGAACTTCACTCCACCAAAACTACACATCAAGATCACCAGCGACCCCCAGAGTGAAGTTCAAATTCTCACTTCTAATATTACTTGACCTCACAAGCAGCACCGCATAATCAGTCTGTCCTCTGTGATATGCTTGCTTCACTCGGTTTCTAAGACACCACACTCTTCTGGTTGTCCTCTTACTTTACTTTGCATTGCTCCTCAGGTCTTTGCTAGTTTCCCCTCATGTCCTCACCGTCTAAATGTTGGAGTGCTTACCCCTCGTCTCTCCTTTTTCCACAGCAAAACTCTGGGTAATCACATCTGGTCTTATAGCTTCAAACACCATGTATCAGGTGACAACCCCTGACTTTATATCTCCAGCTTGGACTTCTCTGATGAATTCACTTTGTATATCCAACTACCTTTTCAACATCTCTTATAAGTCTAATAGGCATCTCAAATTTAACACATCCAAAACTGAACTCTTAATCTTACTACTCCCCCCAAAATGGTTCCTCTCTCTGTCTTTTACAATTTAGTAAATGGCCACTCCATATTTTTGGTTGCTCAGGCCAAAAACCTTGGAATCATCCTGACTTCTCTTTATCAACCTACATCCACTCCATTAGGAAATCCTTTTGGTTCAAACTTCAAAATATATCCAGAATGCAACCACCCACCATTGTTGTTATGACTGTGATCAACCATCAACTAAACTATTGCAGTAGGCTCCTAACTGGTCTCCCCAAGGCCATGCTTGTCACCCTACAATCTATAAGTGATGAATTTAAAACATAAATCAGATTATATAAACACATTAATCCAATAATGGCTTCTCATCTCAGAGTAAAAGCTAATCTCTTTATAAAGATGGCCCTCAGGCTCTACGGGAACTGTCTGGTGTCGTGTCCCGCCCCCGCCCCTTCTTCTCTAGCTGTGCTCACCTACTTGCTTTCTCTGGAACATGCTAGGCCTACTCCCAGCTCTAGACCTTTGCAAATGGAAAATAAAGGATATTTTAATAGCATATTGACAGAGTTAGACTTTTATTTGAGAGATTTTGGTCAAGGGATGCAATATTTGAGAAGGCTAGAGTAGAAACAAGGAGCCAACGTAGGAGGCAATAATATCACCTCTTCTCAGACAAAAAATGTCTAGTTTTTTTTTTTTTTTCTTGAGGAAGATCAGCCCTGAGCTAACATCCATGCTAATGCTCCTCTTTTTGCTGAGGAAGACCGGCTCTGAGGTAACATCTATTGCCAAGCCTCCTCCTTGCTTTCCCCAAAGCCCCAGTAGATAGTTGTACGTCATAGTTGCACATCCTTCTAGTTGCTGTATCTGGGATGCGGCATCAGCATGGCCGGAGAAACGGTGCGTCGGTGCGCGCCCGGATCCGAACCTGGGCCGCCAGTAGTGGAGCGCACGCACTTAACCGCTAAGCCACGGGCCGGCCCTAGCTCTTCCTTTAGAGGTCATCCAGTACCATTCTATGGCCCCGTTTTCATTTCCTCCCAATTCCTAAGAGATGTTATTCTTTACTTTCTCTCCCGAAGCTACCAACCCATTTCCTTTGACCTTCAAACATGCACTGATCACCTCATCTCAAAAATAAAAACAACCCTAAGACACTCTCGTCAAATTCTTTTCTCTTGCTTTCCTTCAGAATCACAAAAATGATAAATCTGGAAGAAATATCTCAGCTCAACCCCCTTTTACAGAATCCATTAAGCTTGACTACGTTGAATGTCTTGTACATGCTGCATATTACACTGGTCCTGGAAAGTGATAAAATTGAAGCAGTGAATAGTTAAACAATTTGACATCTCATTTCTTTCTCTATAAAACTTCTATTTTAACGTCCCCAATTTATCTCATCAACAGTTATCTTATTCAAACTCCAGAAGTGAGAACTTTAGGATTCCTATAAGGCAATATAGATAATAAAGAGGTATAATACTCCACAGGTGAATGGCTTTAGCCTAGCTAGGAACATTCACAGCCTTTACCTTAAATAGATAGTATTTAGTTGTAGAAAATACCAAGTTATTTAGAATGGTATTTCAAAACTCCATTCTTCTGGTCAAGGTTGGTTTTTTTTGGTGAAGAAAATTGGCCCTGAGCTAATATCTGTTGCCAATCTTCCTCTTTTTTGCATGCAGAATGCCGCCAGAGCACGGCTTGATGAGCAGTATGTAGGTCCATGCCCAGGATCCAAGCCCACGAACACTGGGCCACCAAAGTGGAGTGTGCAAACCTAACCACTACACCACCAGGCCAGCCCCTGGTCAAGATTTTTTTTAACCTCAGGTATTGAGCCAACTTTCATTCACTCTTCAAAGCACTTAAAATTACAAAAGATCTTTACTTACTTGGCTTGACACTGATCTTTTCTGGAATTAACTCTTCAGACATCTCATCTAATTCAAGATTTCTACCTTCCAAAGTTGGAATGTTGACATCTTTCAAACCAAAGTGTCTTTTTTGTTCATATTCCTTATGTCTGTTTGCTTTCTGAGATAAAGATTTCCCATGAGCAATTTTAGTTCTAATCATGTCAATACTTAAATCCTTTCTTTGTTGACCGGCAAAATGTGACAAAGCCATCCTGTCAGGGAAAAGAAAGATAAACCAACTTATATAGATTTTCCTACTATTTAAAAAATTAAGATTCCAGTTTATCTCCTGTCCCACCTCAAAGCTTTATGAAATAAAAATTTTTAAGTACTAAATGGAATAAATATGTGACACTGAAGAGTGGGAAGAAAGTTATCAAAAGATAAGACACCACCACCTACTTTGGGGTCCTATATAGGGCCTTGCTTTACAGATGAAGTGAAGTCCAGGATGCTACGGTCCATAGCATAAACAAGAGCCTCTAGGCTTACTGTACAGAACATTACAAAACAACGAATGCGAGGTAAAGGTGAGAATGGGGAAGGAAGTGAAGGACAGTATACAGAATCTTTTCCTAACCTTCCCCTGGTGATGAATGCAGGCAGCCTGGAATTTTTTCCCAAGACAAAACACAAAACAAACAAAAACACACGAGATGCCTATTAGACAGATAGGGATGATAAGCAGGCAGTTGGATATACACAATTGAGAAAAAGATGGGTTTTCAGAAGAATTAGCATGGTGATATAGAAGGATAACCATATAAGTTTGCCCTTGTGAGGGCAGAATAAAATTATTTTCAACCATGTTAGAAATCATACAGTTTACTTAGCACATACCCTTTTCTTAGAAAGATTCTTGAGAATGTATTCAAGCAAAACAAGGGAGAAGGACAAGAAACAGGATGTCATATGTTCTAAGAAATCCTGGATCCAAATGAGGAAAAGAATAAAGGAAAACAGGAAGTCTAAGGGGGTCACCTATGCAGCGGGTATAGAAAACAAGCAAGCCTAACTGGAGAAAGAGGATTGAGTCTCCAGAAGTCTTGCCAGCTTAAAAGAAAAAAAAGAAAGAAAAAGGGGAGGGTTTACCATTAGGAAGTTAAAAAAGTTATAAGCACACCATACTCTTCAACAACAAGAATAACTGAGACATCCACTAGAAGACTCCAGATAAAAGAAAAATCTGTACAAGAAATGCAACAAATTAAAATGTTACCTTATTTTAAGCAATCAACAGAGTATATAAAAAATGAGAATTCGTCTGACCTGGATGCTAATAACTTCTCCTTTAAGAGCCCAGGAGAAGTAACAAAGGACTGTGCTTTTCATCAAGCACTCTCTTCTACTACTTGATTTGCCACCTCCTGCAAGTATTAATTTGCCAATTAAAGAAATTATTAATTTGCTAACCAATCAAAGAAAAAAGTTATTTTAAAGTACCACATAGCTCTATACACAGCAAAGAGAGAGAAAGAGCGAGCATGCACAAGAGTGAGAGTTAATACTAAAGGCATATTTAATTAGCACCTAAACTCTAACAGGTGGTTAGTATTATCGCTGTTATACAGGTGAGGGAAATTAACCGCCCACGTTAGCACACCGAACAGGTGGTGGAGCTGGGATCTCAAGCCAGGCAACCTGGCTCTTCACATACGGTACATCTAAATTCTCTTTTTTAGCTGACTGGAGCTTCTTCCAGCTTGAAAGTCTAGAATACCTTAGTCTTGCTTGCCTAGAGGTTCTCAACCAGGGCGGTGTGAGTTGTCACAGGCTCTGGGAGCAGCTACCGGAGTTAATGTCAGGGCCAACCATGCTAAGTATTGTCCCAAAGGCCAATCACGGCCCGGGGGTGAAACGCTGACTGCTACATAGATCATGGCAACAAACATTTACTCTTCTGGAGGACTGAGTCATCAGCTCCGGGAAGGACAGGTAACCGGGTCCTAGGGGAGCCTCCCCCGAGCGGCGTCAAGCTCGCCGCCGCCGGACCTCAGACCCTTCTAGACCTTCTAGAAGGAGGCGAGCCAGCGCCCTTCCTCCAGCTGCCAGCACCCACCTACCTGAGGCAGCTTCTACTGTGAAACGTCAACCAAACCAAAAGTAAAGGAACGCTCCGGGTCTGGAGGACCGCCGCCGCCTCCGAAGCAGGACGCCCACAACCGAGCCCCGGCAGAATTCAAACTTCCCGCACTCAGCCTCTGATTGGAGAACTTCTGAGCAACACCTCCGGGAAAGGGGCCCGCCCCTTCCCTCCGACGAGGTTTGCGATTGGTTCGTTTCTTGCGCTACTCGAATTGATTGAAAGGTGAACGGACGGTTCAAAGGCGGGGTGTGAGCGGAAGCAATGGGCGGGTCCGCGACGCGATTACGGGTGAGGGGCGGAGCGCTCTGGAGCGGGGCGAGGGTCGGCAGGGGCGCGGCTCAGGCCACGTGGTCTCCGAGGGCGCGCCGGAGCTCCCAGGGCCCTGAGCATCCGAGGGAGGATGAATGCGATCAGACGGAGGAGAAGGAACTGGAGTTTGCAGGGCATTTTAACGTCCTTGTTTAGTCACATCCAGCAGAGCGTGTTGGAATGTTTTCTTCACTTAACGTTTTTTAAAAGGGGTTTACCATACCACATTTCTCCTTACATCGTTGAGTGTTACTTTCCAACGTCGCCAGTCTTTTTTTTTCTCGTCCATTTTTTTATTGAGATAATATTTAAATACAGTGAAAAGGACTTTTTTTTTTTTTTGAGGAAGATTGGACCTGAGCTAACATCTGCTAATCCTCCTCTTTTTTTTTTTGCTGAGGAAGACTGGCCCTGGGCTAACATCCATACCCATCTTCCTCCACTTTATATGGGACGCTGCCACAGCATGGCATGACAAGTGGTGCCTCGGTGAGCACGGGGGATTGCCCACCCCCGGGCCACCGCAGTGGAGCGCATGCAGTTAACCACTTGTGCTGCCCGGCTTGCCCCAGGACTTTTTTTTTAGTATAGGATTTGATGAGTTTTCTAAACATAAACAGCTGGGTAACCACCACCCAATTGGGATACAGAGCATTTCCATCACCCAAGAGTTCCTTCATCCCCTTTCCATTCACCCACCGCTTAGGCAGGCTGCCGCTGCTCTGATTTCCATCACCATAAAAATAAAGGACGTAGGTACTCTTTCCGGGTGGGCCTTCTTTCCCTAAGCATAATGTTTTCCAGATCCATCCCTACTGTTGCGTGAATCAGGAGTTTGCTCTTTTTATTGCTGAAAAGTATCCCGTTGAATACTTGGTTTATCCACTCACCCGTTGATGGACATTTGGATTGTTTCAGTTTTTAGCTATTGTGAATAAACATGTGTGGAAATGTATAAACAGAAACCTCATTAAATTGGAGTCCACGGGCAGGCGGCCCGTGGCTTAGCAGTTAAGTGCTCCTGCTCCTCCGCTGCTGGCGGCGGGCAGTTCGGATCCTGGGCACGCACCGATGCACCGCTTCTCCGGCCATGCTGAGGCCGCAGCCCACGTACAGCAACTAGAAGGATGTGCAGCTATGACATACAACTATCTACTGGGGCTTTGGGGGGAAAAAAATAAAATTATTAAAAAAAAAAAAATTGTAGTCCAGGGGCCAAAAGGAGGAGCTCTCACACCCTACCTCCATAGCGGAGCCCAACAGGAAGAAGACAGACTTCCTCTTCTTGACCAGGAAGCTCAGCCAATGAGAGACTGTCACAACTCAGCCAGTGAGATGCTACTCCACATCTGGACTCTTTGTTTTTAATAGCCCTCCCAACTTCCTCTTCCTTCCATCAAAGAGTTTCTCCTCCCCTTGCTGCTAGGGACTTGCATGTGGCTCGCCATGGTTGTAGACTTGGAATTGCAATTCTTTGTTGGTCCTGAATAAACCTGTTTTTGCTGGAGAAATAACTGGGTGTCTGTTTGCTTAAGGTCAACAGTTGCTATAAACATTCTCGTACAAGTCTTCTTTGTAGGCATGTTTTTATTTTCTCTTGGGGAAATATAGGTGTGGTATTTCTGAGTCATTCTGGGTATGCCTGATTTAAGAAGAGATTGCCAAGCAGTTTTCCAAAAGAAAGCTGGTACATTGTTAGGAATGGAGAGGGTCATGGTGCAATGATAAAAGATTCTATTCACAAAGCTAGAGTGATTTGAAACATGTATGCATCTAACAAAATACCCTCACAATTGATGAAGCAAAAATTTACAGAACTACAGAAAAAAATTGGTAAATCCACCATTATTGTGATTGAACACACCTCTCTCAGTATTGATTGACCAAACAGACACAATTTATCAATGATATAATATGAGTCTTAACAAAACGACTGACCAACTTGACCAAATGCACACTCAACAGAGAATACGTGTTGTCCTTCAGCGCACGTGGAAGAGTGACAAATGGTCACACACTAGGCCATGAAGAAAGCTTCAACAAACTTCATAGACCCAATAAAGTGAGAAATTAAGAGCAAAAACGTTAATTAAAAATCCCTGTTTAATAACTTCTGGGTTTAAGAAGAACTTATGATGGAAAATTCAAATGTCTAAAACTAAAAGATAATGAAAAAGCAAATCAAAACTTGTGGGATATGGCAAAATAGGCGCTTTGAAAGAAATTTTAAGTGCTTATATCAGAAAAGAAGAAAGTCTTAAAATTAGTGAGATATGTGTCCCTCTTAAGAAATTAGAAAAAAAATAACCAAGTAAAGTCAAAGAAGATAGAAAGATATAATAAAAGAAAGAACAGAAAGCAGTGAAATAGAAAGTGAAGATACCATAGGAAAATCAACAAAGTTAAACCTTCATTCTTTGAAAAATTAAAATACAGAAAACTCTAGCAAGATTGATCAAAAAAAGAACACATAATATCATGAATGAGAATACACAAATCAGACTATATTGGTTATCCATTGCAGTGTAAGAAATTATCCCAAAATTTATAAAGTAAAACAACAATCATTTTTTTGCTCTTGATTCAATGGGTCAGGAATTTGGGCAGATGTCAGTGGGACAATTCTTCTCTGCCTCATGTCTGTGTTCTCAGCTGGATTGGCTTGAAAGGCCAGGCACTGGCTGGGTTGGGTAGAGATCTCTTTTCTAATTCTCTCATCTCATTCTCCCATGAGAGTCAGAGGATCCAAGACGGTCTCATTCATCTTTGTGGGGCCGTGTTGCTGACCATCGAGTGGGGCCATTCTCTCTACATGGTTAGTCTCTCATTCTCCAGCAGATTCTCCCTTTGGTCTCTCTCCAGCAGACTAGCTTGGACTTCTTTACATGGTAGCTGGGTTTTTTCTTGGCATAAGTGGAAGACCTCATACGACCTGGATTTGGAAGTCCCAGATTGTCACTTCTACCTCATTCTATAGGTCAAAGCAAATCCCAGGGCCAGCCCAGATTCAAGGGGGTTGAATCCTGATGGGACGAGTAGCAAAGTCACATTCAAAGGGGAGTGTGCACAGGGAGGAATGATTCATTGGGAGCCATTTTTGGCAATCCACAACAGAGCCATAATTACAGATAAAGAATTAAAAAGATAAGAAGAGAATACCATCAAGAGCGATATGCCAATTTTGAAAACTTAAATTAATGGATAAATTCAATAAAAAGCTTAAATAGTCCTACAACTAATTAAAGAAGTTAAAACTGTGGTTACAAATCTTCCCATAAAGGAAACACCAGGCCCAAATGGGTTTATAGGCAATAAGTTCAAGCTAAGAGGTTCTTCCTCCAACTCGGTTCATCGTAAAATTCAATATAGGAAGGAAAGCATGCATAAAGAATGCAATCTTCCTTACTAAAAATAAAGCCTAGAGCCTCTAAGGTTCCCACTATAAGTGGTGGCAGCTGGTCTTTGCAGCACCTACTTAATCTCCCTGAAATATATCATCCCTTAGGAGTCTTTAGTCCACATGGTTGGTCCATTGATTCCTTGTAACTGAAACAAGGCTGGTTTCTTTCTTTTTTTTTTTTTTTTT